TATATATATATATATATATAATAGCTTTACATATTATATATATACATATATATATATATATATATATATATATATATATATATATATATATATATATATATATATATATATATATATAGTTGCATGTAGTAATACTAGACGTGATGTTAATGTGACCGTATAGTTAACAGTCCAGATATAAGTTTGTAAACTTGGTATATAATGAGTAAAGAGTGTTCTCAAGCTTTATTACTCAGAAAATATTCTGAGTCCCCGAGCGGCGATCGAACTCGCGACCTCTTAGTTTTGCGCCACCTGCATGCATAATGAACATGCGTAATGCGACATGCGTGAGGACACAAACTTCAAAGGATCCGATTGAGTTGCCCTTCTATTTATTTCCTATTCTATGCCTAAAACTCAGGTATTTTACATTGCAACTATTCCATGCAGGATATATCATAAACACTGACAGTGTATAGATCTGCTTGTTTACTAAGTGAAATGTTTTCCAAAAACGCTAGTCAAAATTGAGTATGAACAGCATGTTTTAAAAAAACACAGAAACTGTCAAGTGAGATTCACCCTTCAAAAGTTCACCCTATTGAAAAGCAAACAAAACAAGATTCTGGTTTTGCGGGATTAACTCGTACTTATTATTATATATTTTTTTTTAGACAAATCAAATAACTTTGAGAGGACAATCCATCATGATTCAAGCTCCGAGGTAGGTGGTAGACTGCTTACATATATATACACCACCATGCACGCTCAATTGGTCGAAAGGTGTGTGAGTCGGAGCAAAACAATGCATGCATACATTCATGTTTTGTCATATATATATATATATATATATATATATATATATATATATATATATATATATATATATATATATATATATATATATATATGTCTATTTGCAGCCTTAGATTGGGCACTAGCATAGTGTCGGATTAAAATAGCCCTATACAGTGAGCCCTTCATTATAAGACTCAAACTTTTTGTGATGGAAGCTGCATGAGTTTATATATGTAAAAAAAACATAAATTTTCCATACCTGGATTTTGGCTTTATATTTGCTACATTATTTTTTTAAAGGAAAACTTGTCGAGTGACGAGGAATACCAGCCTCTCCCTGAAAGTGAGGACAAAAGTACGTTTCACAACTTGCAAACTACAGTAACTGCATGCATGTTGATCTGTATTAAATATTTAATCTGATTTTACATCCATGAAGTTTCTGAAATAATGTAGGAATCAGTATAGGACCTTATAACTGCAATAAGTCTATGACCAAAATTAAAAGCTATACAGGTATGCATATCCGCAAAATGTTACACTGTTAGGTTAAAAACTTTGAATGAAGAATAATTATAGATTAAACGTGTGGAGAAATGTCGAAAAGTCTCGGGTGAAAGTCGATAAAATCTTGTTGGAAACTTCCCCAAACAAAGGTTCCTCGGATCTATATCTGACTTATATCCCGCATTCTCGGTTTTAGACTTTTGGCGCGTGGAGGTATAATTATAGACACCGCCGAATTATATAGGCTTTCGAACATGTACGTCACTTCCGATTTGCAGATAATTTTTACAAGCCCCTCTACATTTATTTTTCATTCATGCACGAGTTTTCTGGTAGAAAGAATAAACTATGCTTTAGTTACAAACTTTCACCCTATAAAGTTATTTGAAACATCGAACTTTGGAAAAACAAATTTTCAAAATGCTAGAATGTGTCAATGCCAAAATATAGGGCCATATAGGTAAGGTAGCAAACGAGCCAACTCCATTGACGCAAATATGACACTAAAAATTGGACAGGAAGACAGTTCAATAGTGAAAAATGATATAGTGCATGATACTAGTATAGCTGTGTTAGAAAACACACACGACGGAGTTCTTTTTGCACTCTTGACGAGTAAACAACGACGAATTCATATCGTGAGATTATATAGATTATATATCACATTTTAATGTTTCTCGATCTGACTTCGTCGTTGTTTACTCGTCAAGAGTGTAAAATAACTCTGTCGTGTATGCTCTAGCGTACACAGCTATATCATGCACTATATTATTTTTAATTTTGAACTGTCTTCCTGTCTAATTTTTATAGTGTCATAACTACGTCTATGGAGTTGGCTCATTTGCTACCTTAAATTAATGAATTGACACATTCTAACAAAAACGCAAGCACGTTTCTATTCGAATAATTTTTAATTTAACTCATTTGATTTTATTAACTGCTGTATATTTTACAAGTTATGTATGTGATTAAAAAATAATAAATTATCGTTTTCTTTTAAAGGCGAAGATTCAGACAAAGATAATGATGACGAATATGCTTTTAAAGGTGATATCACTGCGCTCACTTTCAAAATTAGGAGAAAATATACTGTACACTTTAACAGTAATATACCCCTCTGAGAGCTCGCTGTTGTCAGAATCAATTTGATATATCACAGTACTGTCACGTGACACTGGGTGAAAGATGACAATTTATTAATAGAATTGTTTGCTGTGGAGGCATTCATCTTTGTGTGCAGGAAGGGATAACAAAGATTCACATGATTTTTGATGAGGTCATTGCTAACAGACACAGAGTAACACTGGGGGGGGGGGGAGAAAAGAAAGAAAAAGAAAGCGTCACTTATCTTGTGTATGTACCCATGGAGTAAATGAAATACTTTTTCTTCTTTTTGCAGATAATTCAAGTCATTCGGAAACAATTCGTCAGGATCCGGATCTTGAGGTAAATACGTTGACAGCTCATAAAATATTCACATAGATCAGGGATTTTGCCGCACACTCACCACAGTGACAGTTTACTGTAAAAACTTGAAATTTTATATATTTAAAACATCTCGTTTACATTGCAGCCGTATAACCACGTCCTTATCTATTGATACGACTGATACAATCCATTAATTAACAATTATTCGCCGAAAGGGAAGTGAATATTGGTGATATGTGATAAAATTTCATGTTAATTTACATAAACTGTGGCTTTGATTTTCTCTGCTTAGACAACGTTGATTTTGAAAATCTCTTCGCCAATAAACTCATAAACATGGGTCGTTTTTTTAAGCAATTTAAAGCACTTGTAGTCGTACGTGCATATCTGATAAAGCACGACTACAAGTGCTTGAAATAGTACATAATCACCTCAAGCGCAGCCAATCGACGTTCAGAATTTTCAATCAATATCCCTTATCGCAAATCCGCTTCGGGCTTGATTTCGGGTTAGGGCTGGGGGTTAATAATCTAATATGAAGTTCATACTGGGGCCGGGTCCAGGTTCGAACCGACTTTTATGCCTGCCTTCGCAGCCGAAAGCATGATAATTATCAAACAGATTAATTATTTTCCGATGCTGAAGCCGAAGGCAGAGGCAAATAATTGATCTACATGTGAGCCACCGACAAATCACGATATTCTGCGAGAACCATGTTTAACAATTGTTTTATCATTCGTCTTATGTTTTCCACTTTTTTTCAAGTAAGCAATACAACTCATCTTGTTTTCAAAAAATGATGATGATCGCATGCTCATACTATTATTTGCACGCAGGTATTTGCAAGTTGATTAACCAATCAAAATTGCGACTACTGTAAAGTGAATGATAATCGAATATTAGGCCTATATGACTAAAGGTCTCTTTAGTAAAACTGGAGGCTAGTTTGTATAATAAATTAGGTTCGTCCCCGACTTGGTTGACAAGACAATTTCATTATTTCTATATGATCCTGAAACCATTGTCACCAGATGAAACACATTAAATGCGTAAAATTTCCACAGGCTCACTAATACAAACAGTTTCATCTAATTCACCAATAGTTCGGTCTGTTTTCCTCACTTTTCCGTGATATGGTCTTTCCACGAGCACTTAGAGATATTTTCTTTCCCAGCAGCCACCGCATGTATATTTGATTTACCTAACTGACCATTTTCGTTCTGCTGTTGTGAAACCACAATGTATATTATGTCGTAGTATCATAAAAAATAGTATTTTGGCAACTTTAAATCTTTCGTAACCGGCCATTATATTAATACAGGAAGACTGTTCAAGTGGCGAGGAATCCAAGTCTGAAAGTGAAGATGACGAAGCCGAAGGTAAATTTCCAGGGCATAGACCAATTGCGAAACTTAGTGGCCGCGCCTTCATACTGCACGAGAACGAGGCTTATTATGCAAAAACAAAACAATTTCTATGTTTTTTTATAGCGAAAAGTGAATTTTAGGGTTTTTAAAGTGTTTTTTCTTGAACCTCTTTGATCTTTTCTTAATATTTCGTACTAGATTATATAAATATTTGTTAAATTTATCTAAACATCGATTTCCCACTATATTTTTACCCGCTTTGGAGAGATATTTCGTTGTTGTTTTAGCATGCGATGGAACAGACATATGGAAAAGATCAATCTATACTTTAAAATCAGATCAAGATGCAAATAAAATAGCCAGTATAACTTAACAAACTAAAATATAACTCTTTCTACCCAGATTTTTTTAGACTTCGTGCAAGAAAAAAACGATTTTGTCAAAGGATAATAACATAAAATTTCTACAAATTTTGCCCGACATTTACTTTCATATTTTTAAAGTTAAAATCGAAAACTTGCTATTATATTACAACTGAAACAAAATTAATCAATGTTACAACTTATTCTTTGAAATATATTAATAAAACAGACGGAAAATACCTGATTCTTTCTGTGGTATAATCTGCTTCTTTTATCGGACGGCGAAAAACAGCAAAACTTTGCCTCGCACGCCGCGAAAAACAGTGAAATTTGAAGTAAGACTAAATCTATGAACAAGTTTAATAAAGATTTACATAGTCAAAACAGAAATATTGAAAAAAATGAAGAGATTACCATAAAAACGCGTCTCAAACACTGAAATTCATTTTTCCCCATATAAAAATATAGCAGAATGATTTGTTTTTGCATAATAAGCCTCGTTTTCGTGCAGTTTAAGGCGCGGTTACTAAGTTTCGCAATTGGTCTATACTAATGTAGATTTATTATTACCATTAGTATTATTATCAGTACAGTCTTTTGCATTTCTCTACTTATATCCATTGCAAATCTTTCTCGTTGTTAAACAATCCTCTTATATATCATCTTTCGGTCGTTTCATCCCTTCTCTTAAACAGCCAATCACCGATGTATAACTAAAGTTATAACTTTTACGTTATATCTGTCCTGTCTTTCCCGTAGATCAAAACAGAGCTGCTGATACTTTCTTACCTTCTCTTGTCGTTTTTCGTCTTTGTTCGAATGATTTGGCCATGCCATGTCTATTTTCATAATCTTTCTTTTCGCTCTCCTCAAGTGTCTGATCGGGTCTCTTTAACTGCCGTGGAACTCATGCTCACCCGGTGTTCCCAAACCCAATTTAGCTTCTTCCCGCTGTTCTCAATCACTTTTCCTTTCCCTCATCTCTCTGTGTATCACCTCGTTCCTTGTTACTATATAGTAACAATTCATTATCATTCGCCCATTTCACCGCCAGTACTAATTTCAACTATTATCATTATACTTCGCAAGGTTCCACATGAAGTGTTTATCTACCTCACTCACCCCATCAGGCATCGGGAAAATAAATGAAAAATCAGTACATTCTAATACCAGTCCTTCAATACTTTTAATGTTGTGATGTTTCAGATGGAAATGATGTTAATAAACATTCAATGGCAAATAAATGTTTTGACAAAACAACAAAGAAATCTGGAGGTAAGATTTTCACATTTTATCTAATTATTTGCGAATTAAACGGATAAATTAAGATATAGTCCAACATTTACAGCTTTTTCGGTCGTACTGACAATTATAAGTAATAGCATGGCTTGAGGGAGATTAGTGATTAAATGGCCCCGTAACCCGAGGCAGGTTTGCGGAATTCCCGAGGGCGAAGCCCGAGGGAATTCCGCAAACCTGCCGAGGGTAAGGGGTCATTTAATCACTAATCTCCCGAAAAGACATGCTATTAGTTTGTAATAGCATAGTTTCGCTCCCATTTAAAAATGGACAAACATGCCCTACTTGGAATCAGCGTATTTAAGCTAAAACATTTGCTTCATTGCTTGTGGGATGTAAAAGCTTGTTGCACATGCGCACTTTTTACGCTTTAATCGGTTACGCATGCGCAATCTATCATTTAACGTACCACAACAAACACGCTAAATATATTAGTATAAATTTGGAGACTGCACGTGCGTAATTTAAATGATGCGGCAACTCAGGGATCGGATGATAGACTATTGACGGCTCTGAGCTAACTGTTGCTGTTCCTTGCACGATTATGTGCGTGAGGCACTTGCCTAATGCGTAGTCGTCAGGGAGACAAAGGTGTGACCCTTGGTAACGGGCGATTAGTTCTAATCGCTCGCTCTAGCGGGCGATTAGAACTAATCGCCCGCTACAGCGGGCGATACGTGATTAAACGACCCTGTTGAAACAAAAGAAACCCGGGCAACTATGCTATTACGTCAATAAACAAGACATTACAAACGAAAGAGATTATCGAAAATACATATGCAAACGTATTTTATTCCTTTTCGATACCTTGTTCAAGAGTCTTGAGAAGAATTTTTTTTCATCTAACAAACGTTGTTATATTTCCAAGGGCATGATTTGATATTTGTCGGGCAATCACGCCCTGCAGGAACAATGAAGACAATTCATATTTAATTATGAGAAAATTTTTTTGTTCTTGTCTAGTGTACATAATTGCGGCGAGTGAGAAAGATGGAAAGAGGGTCTATGATAAAACCAACTGTTGCTTCTTCTGCGAAAAAGAGTACAACAAGCTGGCTCGCCATTTTATGCAAGTTCACAGCGACGAAGAAGAGGTGGCGAAAATAATAGCCCTCAAAACCAACAACGCCGCACGGCAGCTCCAGCTGGAAAGACTTTGCCGAATGGGCAACTTTAACAATAATTTAAAGGTTCTGGAGTTGCAAAAAGGCGAACTAAAGGTGGTACGAAGACCTGGCCAAAACGCGGACAAAGATCCAAGCAATTACTTGCCGTGCCAGTTTTGCCATGGTTTTTTCCAGAGAAAAGACCTGTATCGCCACAGTTCGAAGTGCCCTTTCGCTGAAGGTGCCGACCAGGCTAACATCCGCTCCAAAAAAATGCAGCATGCAGGGAGGTTGCTATTGGCGGCGAATAATTATCCAACTGGTGCCAGCCAACAACTCTCTGACAACGTGTTATCAATAATGGCGCTAGATGACATCAGCGCTGTGGTCCGAACAGATGAAACCATCTTAATGGTGGGTTCAACCTTAATTGAGAATCGTGGAAATGAGAAAGCAGTGGAAGTGTCACAGCAAATGCGACTACTTGCACGGTTACTGATAAATGTGAGAAAGCTGTGTGGAACCCCGTCCGTGTCGCTCCGAGAGATCTTGACGCCAGGCCATTTTGATCATCTTGTTGACAGTGCGCGATCTCTTGGGGGGTATACTGCTGCAACAAATGCGAGTACGGATCGTTTCAAGGCCCCGTCAACCTCTGCAAAGTGCGGATATGCCTTAAAGAAAGCTGCGTTTGTGGTAAAAGGGAAAGCTCTACGAGAAAAAGATATGGAAAGAAAGAACAACGTGGATCTCTTCATGGAGCTGTATGAGGGTGAATGGAGTGGCAAAGTAACCAGCCAGGCGTTACAAAATCTTTCGTTCAAAAAACATAACAAGCCACGCTATCTTCCCATCACAAACGATCTGATGATTCTGCGAGCCTTCCTACATGACAATATTTTAGCCCTCAGTAACGAAGTCCGCGAAAACCCAGCAAAAGAAAATTGGAGAAAGCTGGCAGTTTTAGCGTTGGCCAGACTGATAATTTTCAACAAACGTAGAGGTATACCTATCATATTTTTTGTTTGTTTTGTTGTGGAACAGTTAACGACTGAATAGTGGCCCGTGCATTCGTTAAAATCTCACGCGCGGGAGCGCAGCAGAAACACTTGAGATTAAATTTTTACTTCCTAAATTCTGGAGAAAAAAATCAGTGAGTTAATTACATTTTAGAAACAAGTGGCATTTTGTCGTCCAAATGATTTACTAAATCTGGTTGAACGTAAAGTACATAATTGCCAAAACGACTAAAAAGTACACTTGTAGCTATTGTGGAGCATACTAAAATTGTCAGCGTTTCGTAGTTCTCGTTTGTATTTGTATCATATTTTATTAAAACATTTAATGTAATTTTTCTTAAAATAGGTGGGGAAGCTTCTCGAATGCAGCTGGATGTATTCTTATCGCGGCCCTTGTGGGAAAATATCCACAACGAGGAAATTTTGTCCTCCCTCTCCGCAACAGAAAAATAATTGTGCAAACGGTAGGCAAGTAAACCGACAGGTCTAATATGTCATTGTTGAAATTGAAATTAATGAAATAATTATTTTAAATTTTGTAGTTACACCACGTAATTTTATTATCGCATTTTTTTATTATTGCGATAATAGAATTACGTAGTGTAACTACAATATTTAAAATATTTTTTCACCATTCCAACTTTGAAAGAACTAATTTACGAAATAATTGTTTCACGTTTGTTCAATATTTCCATGGTTATTGGTAACATTTGATTTGATGATCTTTGTTCGTGAAAAAAATTGCCAATCATAGAAAATACTCTGTACTGTACAAACATTATTTTTTAAAGATGCATCATTTGAATTTAATTATAGATTCGATATGGTGGAGATAATGGGTAAGAGGAACAGGAAGGTGCCTGTTTTGCTGACACCGGACGTGAAAGAGGCTATTGTGGTCCTTAATAGCACCAGGGGAAAAGGAAATGTGACCAAAGAAAACACGTACGTGTTCGCTGTGAACAATGGGAAGTCCACAAAGCATCGTAGAGGAAATGATGTGATACGTCAGGCATGCAGTATGGTTGACTTGCAGCATCC